TTTTGGTTTGAGTTATATGTATATGTTTACATATTAAAATATAGTGGGTGGAAAAAAAATGATAAATTAGTGTAAGAGATAGTGGGTGGTGCATGTGAGTAGGCTCGTGGGTGAGAAGAAAAAGAGGGAGTGGGTGATAAAAAAAAAGAAAAGAAAAAAAAAAAGGTCGAATATGGATGATGAAAAGTGGGAACCAACACATGTGGGTGGAGGTGGTGTGGTGTTGTTTCGGTTCCTTTTCAAAAAAAATGGAGTAAAATAAATATAGAAAAAAAAAGAAAAGAAAGTGGGGTACATGAGGGTGTTTTTGAAAAGAAGAGATAAAAAATAAAAAAAAAATAAAAACATAAAGAAACAAAGTAGTAAAAGAAAAAATGTTGTTCTCTCTCTCTTAGCACCGAGAGAGATGAAATCACGTGGGTAGCTTTTCTTTTCTGTGTGATGGGTGTGTGTGTTTATGCCATCTGTGTCTTTTGATAGAGCCAGGGCATCTCCTTTTCCTTGCAGCTCTAGTCGCTCAAGACATTCATTACCAAAAAATCCTTCTGAAACTGAGAATGAGAAAGAATGGGAGGAAGCTCATGAGAGAACCAGGTGAAGCCAAAGTTGGTGTGTCCCCTCTGTCGAGGGCAGATCACGCACGTCGGAAACAACTCTATCGTGTAAATCAGCAGCACGTTAAACGCAGTGCACGCACTGAAGAATGATATCATCTCCAACCCAATCTGGAACGCCCTCCACCACCAACACCACGAGGACGTCATCAAGCTACTACGTTTTGCAGGGGTTGCAAGAGTCTTAAGCGTGGCGAGGAATTCTTGTTTACGTCCTCGGAGGCAGAGCCATCTGGGAGACTCGAGGGCTAAGAAATGAAATAAGACACAGTAGAAGATTGCCGGAACACATGTCCACAGATACAGTAACCTCCATGAAGAGCCCCTATTGAAGTAAGCGATGGCTGGTAAGGATAGAAAGCCAAGGGTGAAGCAAATGAAGCCAATAATACCGACCTGGGGTCGCCAGCGTTTCCCGACGAGCTCCGTGGATAAGACGAGAGCGCAGGTTCCAATGGTGGAACGGCCAAAGCCGCTAACAAATCTGAGGGCTGAGTAGATCCAGATGTTGGTGGAGAAGAACACTGTGGAGAGGCCAGCAAGTGACATGAGGAGGCAGGATAGGAGTAGCATGTTCTTGCGACCCAGTGATGAGGAGTCTGCAAGTGTGGCCAGGATGAATCCACCGGCAAGGCAACCCATGAAGAATGATGACGCCGGCAGCCCTGTCATTATCGAACCGGCACACTCCAATGACCACTCTGAGATTATGGAGGTGTCGATGGGCATATCCCAAGCCCATGAATTCCTCGGAAGTTGGCAGATCATCATCATCGTGTCACCACCGCCAGTAGTAGTAGTAAGGTGCCATGTTGGTTGGGCATCCGTGAACACGCTGACGAAGGTTTGTTGTGCGTCAAAGACCCACGCGACTGATACGAGGGCAGCCTGAAAGAACTGAGCCCACCCGAAATCTCCTAGACACTGTTCGATAGTCTCATCCAAGGTGGAGGAGGAGGATGAGGGGGGTATGTATTTCTCATCACCCTCTACCCTCCTAATACCACTCGGAGTTTCTGACTCGGTTCGTGATAGAATTAGGGGAGTTGGATCAGCCATCTCTCTCTCTCTCTCAACTATACTCTTTCCTTTGCTTTGCTTGCGTCCCTCTCTTTTGTTACCCTCCTCTCTAAATACTGAAAACAGACACAGACAGACAGCGCATGATACAACTAGAGGTCTCTAACTTATCTTTAGCGTGGGACCCATTTTTTTAAGGTGGCAGTCCACGTAGATCTTTGGTCATTCATTCAGTCATTGTTTTGGAGCAAGGATTTTTTTCCCAAAGTTTCCTAGAGTGGTGTGTTGTATGGTTGAGATTTAATGACAAGTTACATCAATTTTTTAGCATTAAATCTCACCCATACAACACACCACTTTATGAAATTTTAGGATAAAAAAACTCAAAAGGATCCTTGGTGATTGTTTTGAGACATGTAGCATTACTGATCATCATATAATAATATCATTTTCTTATAATATAAGAGATATGTTAGGGATCATAATTTTTTTTTATAAAAATGATTATAAAAGATTTGTAACTTTTAAATTATCTTAATTAATATATGATATTTTATTCTAAATATAATTTAAAAATCACAAATCTTTTATAATTATTTTTATAAATTTTTTTTCATACTACTTAACATTAACATTACTGATGATATAATGATATCAAGTCAGTGGCTTTAGTCTGTGACGACAATAGATCGGTATTGAACAAAGCACAACCAAAAAATAAAATTTAAAATTTAAACATCCGAGCTAAAACCATCCATCCGAACATAGAATAGCTTAAACATCCGTGTTAATAAACTTAATTATTAAAAAAACAAAAACTATCCAACTGAAAATAGATTATTACGAAAAAACAAAAACTATCCAACTGAAAATAGATTGACTTGAAGATCAGTGTCAATGAACTTAATTATTACAAAAAAACAAAAACCACCCAACGGATTATAGATCAACTCATTTATCAATTCTCTAGGGACCTGCAGAATTGGTTAATGATACTCTTAATCTCGTAAATTATCAAACAAAATAGACCATTCAAATCATTAAATTTGAATCTGTGATGGATTCTAAAGACTCAAACAAAATCTTTCAATTTAGATTTTAGACAAGAGAGGATCTTCCACCAAAAAATAAAAGTATTTTCCCGCTATATTAGGGGTGAGCAGTGAATATATCGATCCGTCCAAACCGAATCGATCTGTCGCATTTTAGATGGATGCGTGATGATGAGCGGACGGTTGCGATTGATTTTTTTCCAATCTGCCTAGTTTTGGACAGATGGTGGGTTTAAGGTTCCTTTGGTCGTAACCGAAGCGCCAAATCACAAGTATCCCTAATATTTTATAAGATTTTGTGTTTTTAATTTATTTAGATATTTTATTTGTATTTTCAATTAAAAAGAGTTTAAATATTATGTTAAATATATTCAGTTGAAAAAGAGCTTTCAACTTGAATATATTTTTTGAATTGAAAAAAAATAAATGTATTATTTATCTATATTTTTTTTTTGTTTTTAAATCTAACTCTAAAAATAATGGTTTTTGTTTTGGAAAAAAACAAATATAGATGTAATAATACAGAGGTATACAGTCTCTACTACTGTTCTGTTCATGGTTTTGGTGGTTTGAATTGTTTTTATATTTTAAGAACCACAAATTGTAATACTTTATGTGGATGAGACATGTTGTGATTGTAATATGTGGATGAGACATTCAGTGATTATAATGTTCTAAAATTTCAAACTTTTTTTTTTTGGATGAGATATCTAATGATTGTAATATTTTTTTAAGTCATTGACTATAATATTTTTATTTATTTATTTATAGGAAGTGCACAAGTTGAAATATGTTAAAAATTTATAAAATTTTAAACCGCCAAACCTATTCACGTCTATCCGCTAATCTGCCAATCCGCTCAATCTACATCTGCCAAATTAACGGACAAATACGGATTGATTTTCTTTAATCCGCCAATCTGATGAACGGATAACAAATTAAAAATTTTGTGACCGCAATCGATCTGCACCTACCCCTACACTATACAACTAAAATGCAACTTTTTAACTATTTCTATCAGTTTGGTTCTCCCATCTCGTGTTGCTTTATGATTTGGACCAACCTTGATAAAAAATGATGACCCTATAACTTGATTAAGTATGTATTAGTTTCGGAGTAGTATATGATATTATAAATCTTATATTTTAAATTAGTCATATAATATATATTGACTCAAAAAGCCTAACACATAGGGGTAATATCTGGAGTTAAACCTATAAGGAGTCGAAACCCCAGAGGTCATTATTAGGTAGTGTTTGTTTTAAGAGATTGAGGAGTGAGATTAGACTATTAGTCTATCTGGACTAATAGTCCATTGTTTGGTTTAAAATTTTTGCACCGGACTATTAGTCCTAAATCCATTGGACTATTGTGTCCCATGGGGGGTGGGATACAAATGGAGGGATAAGGGGATATGGGATTAGGTGGTGGAATGACCATTTTGACCCCATACTATTTAATTATGTATTATATTTAGTAAAATTCAATAAAATTTAAATGTCTCAATTTAAAAATAAAATAATTTTATTTAACTTTTTATTGATGTTTTATTTAGGGCAAATTACATATACACCCCTCGAGGTTTGGTTAAATTACAGATACCCCCTGAGGTTTCGGAAATTACATCCCGCCCCCTGAG